CTGCCCGCACGCGGTTCAATCCAGTGCTCCGTTCTGCCTGCCTGCCTTCATTTCTGGTTGTTTGGGAGCAGCTTCGGCTGAGAATAATAACTATTCGCCTCTTTTTATCAGCCGAAGCTTCTCCGAATCAACCAGAAACGAAGGCAGGCAGGCAGAACGGAGCACTAGATTGAACCGCGCGCGGGCGGGCGGGGTGGGGGTGAACGGGCGCTTCGGAGGAGCTGTGGCAACAGGAAAAGCCACCCCCCCCCGGCTTCTTTGAAGCAGTTTCTTCCTGGGCTGGTGGAGGAGCGAGAGAGCGACTGAGAGAGGAACGAGGCGGGAGGAAACCGAAGCCGCTGAGCCGGAGAGCAGGACAGGCTTTGGTTGCTTCCTCCCTCCCCTTCTTTCATTTGTGTCCTTGATCCCTGATCCCAGCAGCATTCACCGAAGGTGAAGAAAGCCGCCATTTTTATTTTAATTTTCTTTGCGGCCCGGTACAGAGTGCTCCACGGACCGGTACCGGTCCGCGGCCCGGTGGTTGGGGACCCCTGCTTTAAGACATCCTGGACCATTACATGCACCTAGGTTTAGAGAAGGAACACAAGGGGAAAAAATAGTTTTGGCCTCCATGCATCCCATTTTTGCCCTCCCCGGCATCCAGATGCACTCTGCAGGACAAAAACAGGCTCATTTTTGGCCTTACAAACCCTCTACACATCTTGTTTTTGCCCTCCCCAGCATCCAGAAGCACTCTGCATGCCAAAAACGGGCCCATTTCTGGCCCTCCCAAACCCCGTGTGTCCCATTTTCAGCTTCCCCAATGCCGGGGAGGGCAAAAACGGGAGCCGCGAAAGCCTGCGGAGGCCAAAAGCAGGCCCATTTTTGGCCTGCAGAGTGCTTCTGGATGCCAGGTAGGGCAAAAATGGGATGCACGGAGGGTTTGGGAGGCCAAAAACAGGCCCGTATTCGCTCTATAAGACACATAGACATTTCCACTTTTGGGGTGGACTGCGTTTTATACTCTGAAAAATATGGTAAGTCCCAGCTGGGTGGGGAAATAGGTAGGGCAAATGTTGCAGAGCCTCTACTGTCATTTGTAAGTATGAACAATGGCCCTGGTGCTGACTTGGTCTCAAGTACTTGGGGGAGGACAGCTGGTGGTAACTTGGAATGGTTGCTAGTGAATTGTTGTAACTCGGGAATTACCTGTACCCTAGGATACTCTGAGTCACACTGCTTGAGGCCTTTGTTCTTGAATTGGATTGGGAGAATGAATCAGTTTTGGAAGCTATGTTAGCACTTGAAGCTTCCATGCTGCCACATTCTTGAGCATGGAAAGACGGGAAGGGGGAATTTCATGGAGTGTATGGGGTTAGACATAATAGCATTCTTGATTGGAGTGAAGGTCATGTTTTTCCTGCACCTGGTTGAGGAGGAGTAGAGGGGACATCTCAAGTTGGGACGGATGGTAATTGGGGAATGTGATGGAATGATGGGGGCAAGGGATGGATTTGTAATTTTTTACTTATTGGAGGGAAACCCGGAACTTTCAGATTCGGGATTTCGCAGATGTGCCAGTATACTACTCTAATAAAAGGAACTTTGAGAACATGTCTGTCTCGGAGTTTTTTTATTGCAGTTAAATTTTTCTGGAATGCTGACAGAATGCTCTTCCATGGACTGAGTGTGAAAGTTCTGTTCTCACACAATTTAGAGGTTTCAGAGAACAAATGACAACACATTCAAGTCACATAACTTCCAGAAGTCACATAAAAGCACACCTCATTCGTTTCATCCTCCATAGATAAATTCAAATAGAAATGGAAAAATATACATAAGAAATGGCACAAAAAGTATCTATGCAAAGAGACATTGACTCTTTCCTTCTTTGGATCACGATAAGGGCAAATCCTTTCCTTCTCCCACTCAGGAGACAATATCTGACAGTGTTTTTTAAATAAAAAAACCTAACCATAATCTCTCTTCTTGAACCCTCTGATTGGGGACTAGAAAACTCTTACCCAGAGAGACCACGTTCCTATGGTTTTCAAGCATGACTTCTGAATGCAGTGCTTTCTGGTCAGGATCCAGCTGAGACCATTCCTCTTCAGAGAAATACACAGCCACCTCCTCGAAGGACACAAGACCCTCCTGGACATGGAAAAAAGAACAGAACAGGAGGATTCGCAAGATCTGTTCATCTTCATCATTGATTTAGACAAGAAGATAGAAAAGGGGAACTCATCAAATTTGCAGAGAAGACCAGATTGACAGGAATACTAACACTCCAGAAGATAACCTCGAGATATAGAAGGATAGACAGATTGGGCCCCATCTAACAAAACGAAATCAACAGTGAGAAATGTAAGATTCTACATTTAGAAAAACAACAACAAATGTACTGGCATAGTGATACCTGGCTCAACAGCAGTAAATGCAACAGGGATCTTGGAGTCCTAGTGGACAACCACTTAAATGTGAGTCAGCACTATGCTACAGTTGCCACCCGCCCCCCCCGCCCCACAACAGTATCTCCTAATCAAGACACAAATCAGAGGATTGGAAATTAGTTTGTAGCCCAAAGTAAAGTGATTACATGCTCAACATGGCCACTCCCTTTGGATTTAATAGTCTGCTTTATTTTTAATACAATTTCCTTATTTTTGAACTACAAGTTATAAATAAGGCTAAAAATGCTAGAGTAGCAATGTATTTGTTTTCATTAGCCTTGCACAATTATGAGTCAATTACCAAAAAAAAGGGTCTCTAGGCAGTTCCTGCCACTGTGATACATTTATTCCTATTTCTTGAAGGGCTTTTAAAAAATTGCTTCTTGTAAACTACAAGTTGGAGGAGTACATAGTAGAACAAGATAAGCAGAAGAAGCTATGCTGGCCAACAGCAATTTGAACCTGTTATTCTGCTCTCCATGTTGTGCAAGAACACAAAAATAATCCAGGCCCAACAAGGGGAGGGGAATAGAAGGAGTGAGCCCTCTGCAAACCCGCTTCACTTCCTGAAGGGAGAATACAAATCTTTTCCCTTTCTTACTTGATTTGGAGCTTCAACTGCTGTTTGATCTCCATCATAAAAACCAGAAAGCTTCATTCTTTGTTTCTCTGTAAGGAATAAATAATTTCAAAATGCATAATTAACAAAATAGGAGGAGGTGTTCTATAGGAGAGAAGAGAGAGCAAAGGTAAGACAGATGGGGAATCGGAGGATCTTCCATTACCTCCTGAGGTGTCCTGACTTGGATCTTCCCAAGGGATCCTCCTGAAAAATAGCTCCTGAGGGGGATTTGATGGGTTCTTCTTTCCCTCAGGATCTCTGATCTCCACAGTGCAGCACTTCAAATAAAAGGAAGAAAGAAAAAAGCAGAAGGAAGGAAGAAGCAGAATTAAGGTAGGTCACACAACACAAAGTAGATTCTTCTATTCGGAACACAACCTCAAAGCCCCCAATATCCATCCGTGTGGCTGAATAAGAAAACAGTGGAACAATGTCCTACAAGAACTGGAGAATTGGCTCATATTATGAACGTGGGAGAAGTTTGGGAAGGAGGGGTGAAGCATTCAAACACTCTCTCTATTTATTCCCTTCCGAGCTCCCTAAAGTCTCCCACCTGCTGCTGGAGCTGCTCCTTCTGCTCCTCTGCCTGGCTCAGGAGGAAGCCTTCCGCCAGGGCCACCGCCTGCGAGCTGCTCTCTGCTCCACACTCCCGCACCCAGCCCTCCATCTCTGGGGGCAGGAGAGCCAGGAGACGCTCCAGAACCACCAGGTCCAGCATCTGGGCTTTGCTGTGCTTTCCTGGCCTCAGCCATCGCCTGCACAAGTCATGGAGTTGACTGCAAAGTCCTCGGGGACCCTCAGCCTCCCAGCATTGGATGGAGGTCCAGGGCAGAACTTCTGAAGGGAGGATGCTTCCATCCTGCAGGACCTTCTGCCCAATTCTGGTCCAGCTCTCCCCACAGCTCCCAGGCTGAAGAGCCACAGGGGCTTTTCCGCTCCCCTCCTTGGCCAAAGGGGGTGTCTCCATCCTTCCTCTCTCTGGCAGAGCAACTCCAAAGGTCTCCTGGGACTCTGGGGGGTCTCCAGGGGCCTCTTCCTTCATGGAACCATTTCTGGGGCCGCAGGACGGATCCCCGCTGGTCCTTCCGCTCTTTTCCTTCCTTCCTTCCTTTCCCCACAAAGGAAATCCTGGCTTGCAAAGGCTGCCGAGGGCTCCGAATCTGAGAGGGGGAGAAAAGAACGATGCCCAGCATCAGAAAGGGGGATTCAGCCCCTGGAACCCCTTCCCCCAACCTGCTTGCAGCCCCAAGCGGCTCCTCCCAGCACAGGGCCCAGGGCCCCCAGAGCAGGGTCGGGAAGGAGGCAGCTGGAGAGGCCACCCCCACTGGAGACAAGATTGGACCTTCGGGGAGCCCGGTGCGAATCCTGCCTCCTCCTCGCCGGACTTCTCTCCTGCTGATTCTCCACCAGGCCAGTCCTCCCCTACCCCAATTCGCATGTGGAGGGCCACTGGGGAGCATGGGACCCGGGAAGATTCCACACACACCCCTCACCCAGGACACGTCTGGATGTCTCCCGCCACTCTCCTACAGCCTCTCCGCCTCCTCCACCCCAGTGGTTGAGGAGAGAGAGTGCAGCGTCCTAGAGAGGCAAGGCTCATTGATATCACTTCCTTTGCCGCCTCCTGGAATTCTCTTCCCTTGGTGGAGGGCGCCCTCTGGTGGAGTTGGGGCAAAGGGCCAGGATGGAAGAAAGGGCGGGAAAGAGGAGCGCAAGGGGGAGAAGGGAGGGGGCGGGGATGATGGGCTTGGGAGTAGCGGGAATGGCTCCTCTCCGAGGCTTCCTGTCCAGGACTGCGGAGGCGGCTCTTTCTCCGCCTTCCTCTCCTCCTTCCTGCCCGGGAACCGTCGGTGGAGACGGAGGGAAAAAGCCTCTCGGGGGGATCCGAACACGCTTCCCTCAGGAACCGCCGCCCTGAGGGCTGCGCAGAGATCGGAGGAGGCCTCGGAAGGCTCCGGAGTCCCTTCAGAAACGGTCGGGCGGTGTGAAGACGAGGACCGGGAGCCTCGTTTGGACGCCCAGCTCGTGTCTGGCGAGGGTGGCGGCCTGCGGGGGCAGGCGGGCAGGGATGCCCCGAGGGGGGAAATGATGGTCCCTCCTCCGCCTCCCTCCCGTTCCCTCAGCGCAGCCGCCCTTCTCGGCCTCGGCCTCCCAGCGGAAGGGCAGGGACCCCCGGCCTCTCCTGAGGAGTCCCCTCCTCCGGAGAGGCTCCGCGGGGGAAGGAGGGAGGGAGGCCGGGAGGCTCCGGCGCGGAGGAGGGGAAGCGGGCGAGGAAGCCGAGGGAGGAGGAGGAGGAGATTCCGGGCCTTTCGCCTCAGAGCGACCCGTGGGGCTGCGACTCCCAGGACGGAGCCGCCGCTTCTCTGCGCCCGCCGCCCGAGGTAGGAGGAGCCCTTGGGCCGCCCCGGAGAAATGGGGACTCCGACCGCCTCCCCGAAAGCCCCTCCAGGCCGGATCCCCTCGGAGGTTTCGCCCCCCCCCGTCCCCTTTTCCCTCCCAGAGGGACCGACCGGGCCCCCTTCCCCGAAACCGGCCGGCTGGACGGAGGGAGGGGGTTGGAGAGACTATATATACAATATACACTGAAATATATTAAGAGATTTCAATATATTTGGTTTTCAATCATAGCCTGTAAGCCGCCCAGAGTCTCCTTGTAGGGGAGATATCATAGAAGAGAACGATGGAAGGGACCTTGGAGGTCATCTAGTCCCACCCCCTGCTCAAGCAGGAATCCATTCAAACCGTTTCAGGCAAGATGGGCACCCTAAAAATGTAATATACATAAAAACAAATATCTTTTTTTAAAAAAAAAATTTTTATTGATTTTCTACAAACAAACAAAACACACAAAACAAAAACATCAACTCTCTTATATACATACAGTGTGTCGGTTGGTTCATCAGTTTTGTGCATTCATTTCGTAGTCTCAATTACAGTTATATTACATAATAGCTCATATTGTCAATCCAAACTTATATATCCTAATATCGCTATTAGAAAATCATTTGACTATACTTTTAATCATTCATACTTTATGAGATAACAATACTTTAAACAGTTTATTCTATAACAAATCATATAATCATACCAGATCTATCCTAAAAACACTTTATAGATATGATGTCAAATAACAAAAGAGAAAGAAAAAACAAAGATATTCCTTGCTGTCTAACATTCTAAATATTCTATTATTGTATTTTGTCATCCAACCATTGATAAAAAAGATCCCAAATTTCATAAAATTGTTTATCCTCTTGCTCTCTAATTTCAAATGTCAATCTACTCATCTCAGCACATTCCAATATTTTCTTAATAATTTCTTCCTGCGATGGTATTTTCTCATTCTTCCAATTTTTAGCAAATACAATCCTAGCCGCTGTTAATACATTTACAATCAGATATTTCAAGTCTTTACTGTATGTATCTGGTAAGATTCCCAATAAAAAGAACTCCGGTTTCAAATCTATACGTTTCTTTGTCATTTTTTCCAGCCACATGCGAATTTTAGTCCAATATTTTCTAGCGTCCTCGCAAGTCCACCACTTATGGTAATATGAGCCAGATATCTGATGACATTTCCAGCATTTTTCAGATTTATTCTTGAACATTCTTGCTATTCTTGTCGGGGGAAAGTGCCACCTGTAAAACATCTTATACAAATTTTCTTTATATGCTGTTGACATTGTCATTTTATAATTTTGAGACCACAATTTTTGCCATTTCTCTAGATCAATCCCATATCCAAAATTCTTCCCCCAAACAATCATAGTTTCTTTAACTTGTTCTTCCTCTAACTTAATTCCCAGTAAATAACCATATAATTTTTTAATCACCTTCTCATCAGTCCCCGTCAAGATCTTATCTAGATCAGTCTGTTTATCATAAAATCCCTCTGTTTTAGAATCTTCATCATACCTTGAATGTATTTGCGCATATGAAAACCAATTCATCTTTATACCTTGTTCCTCTAAATTTTGTATCGA